CCACAATTTATATATAGAACACGCGAAAATGGATCAAAGATCCCGAATACGTCCTTGATCAATTATATATGAACCGATTTGAATAGGATTTAGTTCGAGATTAAATTCAGTTATACATTTCATATTAATTTGATGCATTAAATTTTGAACTGTACTAACTACATTAGGAGCTAAGCGAAAATCCGAATACATAAAATGGCTCGGATCAAGTTTTGGCCTAAACAACAATCGTTTCCATTTTATGTTTCAAAACCCTATAAAGAGAAGATACTTCGGCTTGACTTTCGGCCAAATTAATACATTTTTTGAAAGATAGGCGGTGGTGTTTTCAAGCATTAGTTTTGGATTCCACACAAGGTGAGGATTTCATAAAAATGAATTTTAAGGCTCCAAATAAGGTGAAGATATTTTAGAAGCTATTTTTAAGTTTCCACATAAGTTGAGGCTTTTTTAAAATTATTTTTACGGTTCCACCCAAGGTGAGGAATTTTTGTTTAATTATTTTAAAGGTGAGCTGAGGTTTTTTAATTATTTTAGGGGTCCCCCAAAAAGCGTGGATTTAAAAATAATACTTTTAACGGTCTACCACAAGGCATGCATTTTTTAAAAATTATTTTTAAGGCTCCACTCAATTTGGGGATTTTTTAAAACTATTTTTAAAGTTCCACACAGGTGAGGATTGTTTACAAACAATTTTTAGGGTTCCACATAAGTTGAGCATTTTTAAAAATTATTTTTAAGAGTCTACCACAAGGTGAGGATTTTTTTTAACTATTTTAGCGGTCCTCCTAAAAGCATGGTTAAAAAAATATTTTAAAGGGTCTACCACAAGGCACTGATTTTTTAAAATTATTTTTATGGTTCTAGACAAGTTGAGGTGATGTTTTAAAAATTATTTTTAGGGTTCTTCAAATAGGCTTAGATTTTTATACCCTACACAACTATGTTGTCAGGGTATTATAGCTTTGTGCAGCCCCAAAAGTTTGTAACGCCGCGAAATATTGGTCCTAGACCCAACTTTAAGTATATCGATCGTCATATTTCGACTAGCTGAGTCGATCTAGACATGTGTGTCCGTCCGTCCGTCTGTCCATTATAACTTGTAAACACGATACAGGCCACAGTTATGGACCAATCTTCACGAAATTTTGCATGTAGGATGGGTTCTGGCTAATGAAGACCCCTATTATGGCCCAAACACCGCGAATTTTTGCATGGAGAGGGGGATCGGGCCAAAGAATAAGCATGCCTGTTTTGATAAAGATTGGTCAATATTTAGCGGGTCAAATGGACCCAGACTTTTGTGTGGAAAATGACAAATTTTGTATTCTATGGCGTATATATTTACTCCTGAAGGACATAGACTGATGATAATATATCCAAGAGGACTGGTTTACCTCTAAATTGATACCAATTGCATTGTCGTGTGTACTCGCATGTGGGAGTTACACTTAAATATTTACAGGTCTTTACGTATTCATATATTATTTAGTAACGCATTACCACACTAGAGGGCGGAAATATATCGCGGATCGCTTTGAAATTTCCCATGAGGATCCAGGTATAGTCATGGACTAATTTTCGGTGATGATCAGATAATATTGTTTTTTTTATGAGTCCATTTATAGACCACTATTGAAAGCCGGACATCACAACACAACCCACGGTGAAGGGGATCTGTACAAGTAATTAGAAGAGCTGTACTGAATATTAGTAATATTTACAGACGGTCAAGGGGGGTACAAATATCGCTAAATATTGCCCAAGCTCAGATTATCGAACCATAGAAAATTAGATTTTCGTGGAAGTTGTGTAGGGTATCATATGGTCGGCCCCGTCCGACTATACTGCTCCGCTCACTGATTTTAAAATTATAAGGTGGGATTTTTTTTAAAAATAATTCTTAAGGTTCCCCACCAGGTGAGCAGTTTTTAAAAATTATGTTTAAGGTTCCACAGAAGACGTGGGTTTTTAAAAATTGTTTTTTAAGATTATATGATATTTTTTATCAATTCCGCATACGTTTGTTCTTGATCTTTTTTGAGTTGTGATTTCAATCAACATAGAATTTTAATATATCTTCGACGAATAATTCGAGTTACTTCTATAGTAATCTGAATTTTTACTATTTCCAGGCCTTTTAGAATGAAAATATTGTGATAGTGTTCAAAATAGTCCTAAGTTTCAATGGCCACCTCTTCATTCTACTAAAATGTCATATCTGCGACAATTCTTTTAAGATCCGAGAAAATAAAGCATTGACCGGACCGAATCTATAGAATACGGCACATCGTTTTTACTGACTTGCATCCAGTGTTGCCGAAAGTGGGCATTTATGCCCAAAAGTGGGCATAAATAATGTAATATTTTGGACTTGGGCGGATTTTGGGCATATTTTTCGTTTCCGGCCATGGTATAATAATAAAAGGTAACAGCAAGTGTTGTTGTACAAAAAACGATACAACAACCACATGGAAATTTGTTGTTGTAAGTTCTACTAGTGTCAACTCATTTGACAGAAAAATGTAAACAAACAAACAAATTATCATCAAATTATTTTTATTTTGAAAATGGAATATTTTCGAATCCTCAAAATAAAAATTGAAAAACATGAATGAAAATCTATCAAATTTATATTTCTATCGCTTCCACATTTTTCCTTTAATTATACCATTGCCATATATATGGGTAACACATATGACAATGCTGGGAATAGCGAGTTATTCCTTCAAGAAAGATTTGCTTCCTCAAACTTTCCCAGCAGGCAGATTGAGTAAATTGAATACGGGAGCACATTAATAAAGAACAATTTCAAATTGTATGCGTTCCCAATTTTCCTGTTGGGTGATTTTTAAAAACATAATTTGTCAAATTCATATTGACACTAGTATTACGTTGGAATCAAATCAGCTGGGATTTGCTGTTACCTTTAATAATTGTACCATGGTTTCCGGCGCATTTATTTTTTTGTGTATTTGTTTACGCTACACAAATATTTTTTGAGAAATAGTTTTCTGTAGTGATCCGACAATCATTATAGGATAAAATTGACCAAAATATTTATTAATGTCTTATTCTAATCGCTCTATAGATCATAAGCATGATCCGAATATCATATAATTTATCCGGGAAGTGGATCTGGGCATCGATGAACATAACAATCTATGGTGGACATGTTTTATCCAGGAACATATTAAATAAAATCATTTGTACTTTGAAATCATCTCAACTATCTTGACTTATGTGTTGGGATATACCAAAATGCTCATATGTGGACAAACATTCACTGAAAATGTTTGTCCAGTGGTATTTGTCAACCCCTTCCGAATATCTGCTCCGCTTACTGGTTTTCTTTTAGGTCATTCTGTTGGGTTTCCCGACATATATACTACCTCAATATGGTTTGCTGTGGTCTCTATTGCCAAGGTGGAACATTTTTATTATATTGTGACCGATTATTGCCCTAAATTTATATTAATTATAAATATTAAGGCCTTTCATGTTTAGACTACACAGTATTTACCATTCGCTTTATTTAAGGTATATGTTTTTATTAAAGAGTTGTGCCCTAGGGGCCATTTATTCGGATTTAATGCAGATTTGGTAACATATTATGATGTGGAATCAATGCATGAAATCAACATTTACAACCATTTAAAATATTGACCCTGAAGCAATGAATTTAATCTAGGTTCCGTTCAACTGATATTGGATGAACAAATTTTAAAAATTTCGGCACTTTGTGGGGAACTTGATTTAAATTTGGAAGAAAAATATGTGTTAAGTTTGGATTAAATCGGTTACTTCTTTCGAATGATATCGTGCGCACCAGTCATCCAGACGGTTATTTGTTAATGGACTCCAAATTGAATCGGATTTGATCCAAAGACACATGGGGACTAAACGAATATTTCGATGAGGTACTTTTTCCGCAACATAGTACAAATTTTTAAAACAAAGACATTAAAAAACTATTTAAAAATAAAAAATCAATTTTGCTATTATTTTCCCCATATTTCCATGCCGCAAAACAGTGTACTTTTTTGCATTTGAAAAAATGTAGAACAAAAAGGACACTCGCTTTTAATACTTAACGTCAGTGTATACCTTTTCAATTCTTGAATTTTTGGGCATAAATTGTTGATTTTGGGCACTTTTTAGGGAAATTTTGGGCGGAAATAAAATTTTCAAACGGCAACACTGCTTGCATCACCTTTTCTTTTCCTTCTTTCAACAATATACGATCATTCATAATTGTTTTGTGGGTGTTTTTTTTTAAGTTTTACTCATAACCACCTGTTTGGATGGTAGATGGGTTCATCGACGCACATTTCAAAATTTCACAAATATTTTATGTTTATTTTCTTTTTCAATAAATTTATACACGCTTCTCTTAAAATTTAGTAACACCATCTATATGTTTAATTATTGTAGCGCCATCTATATGTGAGACTTTCAATTGACCGTTACATTGGTAAACTTATACAAGGCATCTAAAGATCATCTACAAATATGTATATAAATTCTAATGAGAGAATTCCATCTAATTATATAGCCCTGGTTCTTATATCGACTGCTTGAATAACAAATCAATTCATAATAATTATTAAAACACATTTCCTAATCAATATCCTGTTATCCTTTCTTTTATCTTTTCAGGGAATACAAATCAACAGTAAATTTCGTTCCTTTTTTACAAACCAAAAAAAGACAATAACAGAGAATCAACTTTTGTTTTCGGCTACCACAACAACAATTTGGAAATATACAACAACAAATTACAGGAACTTTACGTTCCACCAAAAAATAATCCCCATCTTTTAGAAAATCCGATCCATTAGAATACATCCATAGTCAGACGTCCATAAAGTACTTAAAACTATTTATTACGGAAATCACGCTAACTCTTAATTTATTCAACATCGTCGTCATCGCCATCGTCATCATTCTCCCCCAGATATATATTAACAACAAGTCCACCAAAGAAAATACTTTCTCCGATGACCAAAAAGGTCGTTAATCAAGAGAAAGTGGACACCACCTGCTACTGCTGCTGCTACGGTACGGGCCAAGATATTTGTGCAGTAAACAACAACATTAACATCGTACACAGCATTCTGCTGAACACAGGACACTCATACGCCGCACGAGCAGATCTCAATTATCGTGTTTAAATCAGACGTCAAGTGAAGGAATTGCAAAAAACTCCTGAACCACCAAACCAATTTCTGGTGCACAGCAACGCTGTACTAAATTATTGGACTTCATTTAGTTTTTTTTCGGATTTTTGAACGGCTTCAAAACGGCGGGCACAGTGCTAAAAGTTGTTGGTGCATCATGGCAAAAGACCCGGATTGGGACATACATACTGATCGGTGCCGGTTTACTGGTTATCGGTGCCTTCTTTATCGGTTACATTGAGAGGCCAGAATACGATGGTACCTATTGTGCCACAGCATTTTGGACCAAACAAGTTGGCTTCCAAATTGAATATTGGAAACAACAAAACGATCTTCTTAACATTCCAAAAGGTGCTGCTAGAATATGCTATAAGGATTCCATATATGAAAATGGGTAAGTTGTAATCTCACACACACATGTCGCATCACTGAAATCAATATTAAAAACGTCCCTTCTCTTTTATTCCTTAGCTGGGCTCAAATTGAAATAGAAACTCAACGTTCCTTTCCCGATTGGGTTCAGGCCTATGGTGCTGGTATAATTGAGGGATCTCTAACCTGGCATCAAATCTACAATCAGTGGGTCAAGTATGTACTACTTAAAAATTCCGAAATGATCCACCACTAATCGCCATTTGTGTTTTCTTTACAGCACAATTCAATCATCCTGCGAACGCGATGAGGATGCCCAAAACTTTTGTACCTGGCTGCGAGATCTGTTAACCGAAAACTATGTCAAAATCAAAGAAACTGCACTTCTTCGGCAGGACCTTGAGCACTATTGGCATCAAATCGGTTTGTTCTTCTTTCAATTGGAGGGTCTCGAGACGGGCTATCGCAAAGGAGCCAAACGGGCTCGCTCTGATCTGGAAGAGGAAATACCATTTTCGGATTTCCTATTGATGAATGCAGCCGCCGATATCCAGGATCTGAAAATTTACTATGAAAATTTTGTGCTCAGCAGCGGCAGCAGTGACAGCGCTGGGAATTCAACAACATCCACATCAACTGGGGCGACGGAAACAGTGCCAAGCAAGAATTTCCATTTGCCTATGGCTTCAATGCTGACAAAAATCTTCCCATCGGATAATTCAGGCACTTGGCAGTTATTATTTGGCCATAGCACAGCTGGCAGTTACGCGTCCATGTTGAGAATCCAAAAACGTTATAAATTCCATTATCACTTCGGTCCCAACCAACGGACCAACACAGTGCCCGGTGTCGATATAACATTCACCGGCTATCCGGGCATTCTGGCTTCAACTGATGATTTTTATATTGTAAAGGGTAGACAAGTTCAATCGATTGTGGCAGGAGTGGGCATGAAAAATGAAAATTTGGAACTTTGGAAGTCGGTTGATATCAACCAGGCAATATTGCTATCAGCCCGAGTGATGGCTGCAAATAGGGTGGCCCAAAATCGTCGAACATGGGCCAAGGCTATGTCCAAACATCCATACACCGGTTCCAAACAATGGATCACCGTTGATTTGAATAAACTGGGGCCTTTGAATCCACTCTATCAGACCTTGGCTGAAGATGACAGATTTGATGATAAGCCGGCCCCGCTTGATCCCAAAGATGAAGCAGTCATTTCCGAACTGTACAATCGTTACAAGGGATTGGTATGGATTGCCGAACAATTACCTGGTCGCATGCATATGAAGGATGTTACTGAACGATTTATAAACGACAATAGCACAGCGTGGCTAGCTAATGGGGTACCATACTTCGATGAATTGCAAGAGATTAGCAAAGTGAACGTGGACAGCTATCCCAACGATCTGTTACCGCTAGACAATGAGAAGCTGACTAATTTGGAGGCTGTGGACACATTTCTACGAACTCATGGCTTCCGCGGTGACCTGTTGGGAGATGAGGAATCTCTGGCCTATGGCAATACAGATATCAAACTGTTCGCCTACAATGCCCGCCTCGGTATTAGCGATTACCATGCGTTTGCCGGACCGGTTTTTATGCGTCTGCAACACATGCAGCCTCGCTCTATACCAGAACCATCTAATCCGGAGGGTCCCATAAACTCTTCCATTCTCGATGATCGCTTAAGTGTGACCATCGATGATGCAGCCGAACTGGCAGAAATGGAAATGATCACTGAACGCCGACCAGTTCGCAATGATATGCGGGCAATAGCAATGCGTCAAACTGGGGCTGGTCCCTTCAAATGGTCATCGGTGTATGACAAAATGTCCGACATAAAACATGCGGGTCATCCGGATGAATGGAATTTTGGCAAAGTATCACCGAAATGGGCGTGGTAGCACCGCACCGCACTCACTCCCATCCAGCCAAAACAGTGCCAGCAATCATCTCCTCCTAAGCACTCCTATCGCCTCATTTTAAAGCATCACTACTCCACAATTCATCGACAAAGCAATATTTTTTATAATGTAATTTTTAGTAATTATAGTAACGGAATTTTTTTAGAAAAAAGTTAAAAAAATTATTAAGAAGTACTTTTTTATAGAACAACATTTTTTACAAATATCAAAAAAAAAAGTCATCGTCAAAAACTGGATTTCAATTCAAGAAATTTGTAACAAATTGTAATTTTGCATCCAAAAAGAAACGAAAATTTAAACTTTAGTGCTATATTAGTATGTATATTAAATGTTTATAGAATAACTGTGTTCGTCATCCATAGTTCTAATTGAGTGTGATATACAATAATAAATATATAGATAGAGTTAATTTGTAAATGTGTAAATTATAAATGTTCAAAGTCTTCCAGTTTATAGCGAAACAATTGTGCTTTTTTATAAATATCTACATGTTGAGAAATTGTAAACAAATGTTAAACATCCATTTGATGACGTACGAAGAGAAAAAACAGCAAAAAATAAAAATCGATTGTGAACGAAAAAAGAAATATACCCAAATTTTTAAACAAGAACTTTTGTGTGTTTCAATAACATTTTCTTTAAGTTTCGAATGTATTATGAAGATTTGACTTGTAAGTCTATATTGCATACACATAAATACGAATGGAGGATGCAGCTTTTGGGTGTTTTGCTATAGGAATGTCACAACTGAAACAAACGACCTCTACTAATATTAAGAAAGACAAGTAAAGAGTTGAACATATGCGAAGAAGTACTAGAAGACTTTGGTACCTCCCCCATCTTCGGAGTTAAAGTAGGTTTGGTAAAATATTTCGATTTGCAAACTATGATTCAAATCAGTTATTAAATTCGCTTCAAATTGGATTTGCATGTTTTCAAAAAATTTACCCTTTGTGAGGGAAGTATTAGGAGGAATTGTCCGATAAGTCCCATCTTCCAACATTATACAGAAATGATTAAAATATTAGGTTGTCCAACGTTGTATAGTCCATTCTCATTCTCTCAACATTTTCTGGGAAGCGGTTTTTTTCTAAACAGGAATATAAATTAAAACCATTTCAAATTTTTCTGAAAAAAAATATTTGTCACCCTCCAAGAACCTCGAATTACAGCTACATAGGTTAGAAAATACGGCTAGGAACCCCAAACTGTCAAATACCGGAAGGGGTTATATCGACAATTATTTGAAAAACATATTGTTCACCTTCCAAAAACCTGGTATATGGGGTTTCTTCAGAATTGTCTGTAACCTTTTAACAAACTGTTCTATTAACACAAATAAAATGTCATATTAAATCTAGGTTAAAGAGACAATTTTCAAACATATCCTTCATAAATATTTTTCACATAAAAATATTCATATTTATGAAAATACGGATTTCGAAATAGCCAATAGACTTATTAGCTTTCATATGACACCAAGTGTATTACAATATCACCAGTAGTTCAAAAGTTATGGCCACGTTAAATCGCTTTCGCCATTTCAAACTACCGCATCACTAGATGGCGTTGCGGTCGTCAAATTGTCAGGTCGCTACATATAATCAAGGCATTCTTATAATGTAAATAACTTTTGAACGAATAGTGATTTTTGGAAAATTTAAAATCCGATCATAATTAGGTACGAAAACGAAAGATGTAAGTTTTTCTTCAATGTTCAATAATTTTTGAAATACTTGGAGTATAGTAATAAAATTGGTATCTTATAGAGAGGTAAGAATTATAACTATTACGATATCTGCCCACAAATTTATAAATATGAAATATATACGAAAAATTGTGCTAAATTATTAATACATAATTTAGCCCTAAATAGGGTTTTGAAACTAATGGGTTGATTACGGATGCTAACCATAGTTTAGTGGCGTTGCCAGTTGCTGCGGACTTTTGATCAAACCAAAGCCACTATCGATGATGTTTGGAAGGCCATTTCAGAAGACCTTAACTGCTATGGCCCACCAACACGCATTCCAATCTGAATGGCAAAGAGCGGCGAACATCTTCTTTTGCACCCATGATACGTACGTGTGTGTCATCAATACATCCGACAACACCCGGGAATTTTGTTTTCGAATTGTTTTCCTCCTCTGATAATTTGGAAACAACAGGCCAAACCCATCAACATTGTTGGTTGAGCCATGCCAAGGTTGAAGTCATTGCCATGGGACTTTTGAAAACTTCCCTCTCCCTCAGAGCAGCACACACTTTTAAGAGAGGAGGAAATGCTGTTGACCGCCGGGTTTTTCGGAAAACCGGGTTTAAGGCTTCAACTAAGTACACAAAGGCATCTTTTGGTAACCGAAAATACGCCTTCAAGCTAAAATGAGCAGTTGATTGAAAAATTTCTCTAAACATAAGCATCTACTCACAGAACTGATGGTAGTTCTAATAGATTTATCTCTTAAATGCCTTCTAATAGATGTCACGCCTTGAACATAATTTTCATCATCAAAAAATACTTCCAATGTTGAACATAATTTTCATCATCAAAAAATAGTTCCAAAGTTGCAGAAGTGTCAAACCATCTTATCGACCGCAAAAGTTGATATTCATAATGTTAAGTTTTATTTCAGTGGCGTTGCCAGTGAAATCATAACTGGAGTTTGGAGTTTCGACCCATAAATTTGTAGATACCATATATACCAAGAAAAAAATGCTCCCTTAAAAAACTTAAACTATGAGTTCTTGATATATTCACCAAGGTCATTTATCCCCAATTTGTCATAAATTGTCCACCATCAGACCGTAGATAAGCTCCTTTTTTGCATGCTGTTATTGAACACACCTAACGGTTGCTATAGCCTTTGAGTCGACCTTATAGCCTTTATTAATAAATAAAAATACATTTGATATGCTGATTTTATTAAGAATGTAAATTTATTAAACATAAATTTGGAAAACATTTGTAGTTTTGCCAGCATCATGGACAATTTTTTCTGGTTACAATTTACCCACTTCGTACATATAAGCACCCAAAAGTTTAGTCTAAGGAAAACAGATTAATTAATTAAATTATAAATTTTGTATTAAAAACAACTTACCCCTTCAATATAATTGTACACATCGATCTTTTCATTTTGTGAATGGGCACCATCATCACAAGCCCCCAATGGTATTAGAATAACATTTTTACCAGTGGCCTCTTGCAAAGACAATGCAATAGAAACAGAACAACCCTCTCTGGTCATATCAGGTTCGACATTGTAAACATGTCTAATCGCAGTCTTAGCTGCCTCGTAATGTGGATGATGGGGATTTTCGGTCCATGGCTTGACGGTTGAAACCAAAGAAACATTCAATATATTGGGTGATCCTCGTTCAGCCCATTTCTCATTTAAATACTTTGTAACACATTCGTTTATATGTTCAATATCTTGATTGGGTACCAATCGAATCGAGAATTTACCAATAACCTTGCCTGGGATAACAGTTTTGAAACCAGGCTCATAGTAGGCACCTTCAATGCCATGTATAGACAGCGCTGGATAACGCCATCTGGCCATTAATATACGTGTTTTGTTTTCATTGTGTGGCAATCTGTTGGCGCCAACAACATTTCTGAAAAAGAACAACAACAAAATTTATTAATCCATGATACACTAATGCTAAAAATGTCCATTTATACCTATGTATACTTACTTGTAATCTTGAACATCGTAATCAATACTTTCATACATTTCATTTTCGATGGGCAGCAAAGGAACAATCTGGAAATAAAATACAAGGAAATGAATATGTAAATAAAAGGAGGTAATCGTTTAAACTTACATCTCTCTCAATGCCGGGTATGGTAATGTTCGTCTCTTTATCCACCAAAGTGCTTAGTAACCAGCATAAATCAGACATTGCCTCATATACACTGCCACCAAATACACCACTGTGCAAATCTTGGCGTGCACATTCCACTTCCACGTTATAACATACAATACCGCGTAGACCATACCCAAGACAGGGTCGATTCTTACCCAGCCAATAGTTATCGGTGATACACACAAAATCGGTGTTGGCGAGGAAATCATTTTTACGCGCTTCCACAAGATTCACTAGCAGCTCATCTCTGTCACTTTCTTCCATGCCCTCAAATATAAATTTTACATTGACAGGTAGTTCAATGCCGAGTTTTTGGTACGCTTCAATGACATTCATCCAGCAAACTACTGGTCCTTTGTTATCAGTCGCGCCGCGACCGTATAGCTTACCATCTTTTTCGGTTAATTCAAATGGTTCCGTATTCCAACCATCTTCCTTCGAGGCAGGTTGCACATCCAAATGGCCATAAACTACGATGGTTTTCTTGTTGGGATCCTTGCCCAAATCGGCGAGAATAACATTTGGGAACGGTATCCTTTTACCATCAACCATCATTTCATGTTCACCAATATCGGCCAATTCGACATCAGCACCCAAAGCTTTTAATTTGTCTGCAGTCCATTCGACCATACGTTGAACTTCGCCGTAATTATTAGGCCACAATGAAACCGATTCTATGGCAACAGCAGTTCGGAGGACATCAATATATGCCCTTTTGTTGTCATCAATATAACTTTAAGAAAATATTTCAAAAAAATATTATTTTGTTTTTGCAAAATAGTCAGGATGAATCCCAGTTTGTTGTTATTATAAAAAAACAACTATTTATTAGTGGGAAATGTATGGCATTGTTTACCGAGGGGTATGGCAGGGAAGACTATAGTTTCGGATCACGCCACTGATCCTCCCTTAGTTTTTTGTTGGGATATTCTCCCCAGAAGCTATTGCTTCTATACAAAAAACCTTTCATACCCAAATGTACAGCAACAAACCAAACCGTTTAACCGTGCCTGCGTCTACAACTTCAGTAGTGTTGGCGGTTTATTGGGGATACCATTTGTATTTTGTTTTTGCAAAATAGTCAGGCTGAATCCCAGTTTGTTGTTTTTATAAAAAACAAAATACAAATGGTATCCCAAATAAACCGCCAACACTACCAAAA